TCGGCTGATTGCATGCACCACACCCATTATTTTCTTAGAAATTATTTACTTAAAAACATTTTTCTTTTGAAAACTTTACAGATCCTCAATTTGAGTTCAGACTCACCCGAAAGCATTGTCCAAATCCCTCAAACCAAGGCTCTGATACCAACTTGTAACGACTCAAAAATCAAGGGCAAAAATTTCATTTTGAATATAGCTAACACATTGATACCATTTATTTCAAACACCTCAAGTCATCATTAAGTAAAACATTTATCAGAGTTCATCCCAAAATCAATCATTGCGGAAATCATAGGTGTGTGCACTGCGATCAATCCGAGCCCTTCATTTCCAAATCGATGAGACCTGAAACCAAAACTGTAAACCGTAAGCACGAAGCTTAGTGAGTCCCCCAGAGCATACCCCACACACAATCCACATAACACATATCGTATTAGCTGTAAAAGCTATATCTACCGTTATTACATATCAATTAGCTATAAAAGCTACTCTACCACGTATCACATATCAAATAGCTATAAAAGCTCTCTCTACCATTATCACATATCAATAGCTATTTAAGCTACTTCTGCCACATATCACATATCAAATAACTATAAAATCCATCTCTACCATTGGCACATATCAATTAGCTATACAAGCTATCTCTACCGTTAGCCACAAAGGCTATCTCTACCACTAGCCACAAGGCTATCTCTACCATCAGCCATAAAGGCTGTCTCTACCATTAGCCACAAGGCTATCTCTACCATCAGCTATAAAGGCTACCTCTACCATTAGCCACAAACGCTATCTCTACCGCATATCACACATACATACATATCACACACCTCTACATAGCAAGCATACCAACTATCATAAAATGGGCCGACCTTGGTGCCTTAGACCCATTGGTATGGTGAGAAGACTCACCTCTGAAATGCTGAACTAGTAAGCTGAAGTCATATATATCCCACACGCTGGTCCTTCTCAACTGCCTATAATCATCAAGTGATTAGCTTAACACAATCCCATAAATACCCTGTGGTCAACCCTGGACACAGTCAAGGTCCACCGTCAAGGTCAGCAGTCCATGTTGACCTCAACTCGTCGAGTATAGCCAGCCACTCGTCGAGTTCTTGCTTAACTTGTCAACTCGCCGTGTCACTTGAGTGACTCGTCGAGTTCCCTAATGTTTGCGGCCATAAACCCTCAACCGCAAACCCCTGGCCGTAAACCCTTTGGTCGTAAACTCCTTGGCCGTAAACCCTTTGGCCGACTCGCCGATTTGATTTAAGAACTCGGCGAGTCCCTTTAGTCCTACTCTTTTTTCGGCCTTTGCAGTGGAAACCAAAGCTCCAAATCACTGATCGAACCGTTTATGGTGTAGTTACCACGTAAAGTTGCAAACTCTACGTGTTATGCAAAGCATCCAAGGCTAGAAACACTTAATAAAAGCTTGACAAGGGACTTATAGCATAAAGGGGGGCAAGACTTGATAAAGTTGGCAACTTTAAGTCCCCAAAGGCCCTGAGATATCTAGATCTAAAGCCATATGCTCATAACAAGCTCAAATCCAAGAATGATCCCAAACCATGCTAATAATGGCCATAAATTTTCATAGAAGGAAATCTAAGCAATGAAAAGCCAAGGTTTCGACTTTATACCTCAAAGTAGCTGCAATACTGGAGGAAATCCCGGATCTACTGCCTTCCATTCAGTACAACCTCTTCAAGCTTCAAGTTCCTTCCAAAAGAGCACCAAGAATCACTCTCCAAGCTCACACACACACTTAAAGAGAGGGAGGGCACGAACTAGGGTTTCTCTGGACAAAGGGGGAAATAAGGGAGGTTGTAAATGAGACATAAGTCCTTTAAATAGGGTACCAAGCCCTAAAATTTAGGGTTTCCTTTACAGCGCCTACTCGCCGAGTCGGAGCCTTCCGACTCGTCGAGTAGGGTCGAAATCTCGCGATCCTTTGAATGACTCTACTCGTCGAGTTGGAGCTCCCAACTCGCCGAGTCCCGGCACCAAAACCCTAAAAAACTTGCATCCATTAAGCAATTCCTGGAACAGGTGTTACACCAAGACCTTCACTCGATCAACCGATTTATTCGCCTCCTTTCTACCACTACCGTGGTATGCTTCTCTATTTTACACAACATATCCAACAACCACGTCCTACACAACCATTTCCACAAACACATTGATCAAGATTTTGATCCTTTTGATTTGAGTAAATTACACGAATGGTCCCTATGGTTTGGGGTAATTTGCGCGCTTGGTCCCTAACTTATTTTTTTTTAACTCAGAAGGTCCCTAATATTTGTTTTTGTTACGCGTTTGGTCCCTACTGTTTGTTTTTGTTACGCGCTTGGTCTTTGTCTTACCTAAAAAGACTATTATTTAAATATGGAAAAATGGTGTGATAGGTAGGGTAATGTGAGAGGGGTGGGGTTGGGGTGTGTTTATTTAAATAAGTTAAACAATCAAGGGCAAAATAGTCTTTTTAGGCGAGACAGGGACCAAGCGCGTAACAAAAACAAACAATAGGGACCTTCCGAGTTAAAAAAATAAGTTAGGGATCAAACGCACAAATTACCCTAAACCATAGGGACCATTCGTGTAATTTACTCTTTTGATTTTGGTTCCCAACCAGAGTTTATTCCAGAAACACAATCACAACCACAAACACCCATTTCTGAATCTGAACCAGAATTTGTTCCACAAACTCAACCCTCTCAACCAGGAAATAAAAGAAAAGAGAAGGCGGAAGCTAAAGCGTGCTCACCTCAAGAAGAGTTAGTATTAGCATAATCATGGATTGACATTTCAGGGACGCAAAGACGGGAAGGAACCAAAAACATGATCGTTTTTTGATGCACATTAGAGCTCGATTCCATAAAGGAATGAACTTGGAACCATATCGTACTAAACATCAGGTGTACTAAAAATGGGAAAAGATGAACAAAGACGTGATGTTGTTTAACGATTTATATAACAACATGAAACGACAATGGAAAAGCGGCGAAAGTGACGAAGTGGTTTTGGAGAAAGGTTTTAACATTTATCAAAAAGATCAAAAGAAGACTTTCAAGTTTTTTGAAGTTTGGAATCTACTCAAAAGCAACAAAAAATGGCAAAACCTGAAAACAAGCGACGAGTACATCGATAGCGGATCAAAACGGTCAAGAACTTCCGACTAGGAACACACTTCATCGGATGCTCGTGTTGGTTTCGACCTCAACGAAGATGAGTCCGTTCAAGTTTCACCACCCCCGACCAATGGGAAGGGACAAAACAAAACACAAAGGCAAGGGCAAAGCTTCGGAATCGAATGACTTGAAAGAAATGGGCGATAATGTGCAAGGCATAAAAGATAGAATGAATAAAATTTTGCAACTTGCTTTGAATAGAGAGAGTCGGAAACAAAGGGACAGCGACCTGAGAGTGTTATCGATGGACATGTCGAATTTGACCGGGATGCGCTTCAAGTCGTTTTGCAAATGAAGAAAGACGTGAAAAAACGTCACGCTAATCGTGGTTAATTTGTAGTTGTTTTCCAAGTTTTAATTATTTGATGTTTTTTTTATATATTTTTTTATATTTTTTTAAGTTGTATGTTTAAGCTTTCTAGTTTTTTAATTTCTAATTTCCTAGGTTTTTTTTAAGTAATGTAATGATTTTTAGTTTTAATTAATGAAATATTTTGTTTTTATTTAAAACTAAAAATTTTATTTATTTAAAAAAATAAAAATAATTTAAAGGAGTGTGGCACCACTTCTTGGGTGTGGTTCAAGATCCGAACCGGTCAAAGAACCGGTAAACCGGTTTACGCTGAATCGGTCCACAGTGAACCGAATCGGTTTGAGAACCGAACCACCGGTTTACACCCGTTCGAGATTTTAGACGTTGAAACCGGTTTAGAACTGGTTTATATCATGTGAACCGGTTTGGAACCGATTGAACCGGTTTAGATAGGTCCGACTAATTTTAGAAATGAACCGGTTTAAACCGAACTGGTTTTGCTTGGCTAGTGAGTGAACCGAACCGGTTTAAAGAACCGGTTCGGTTTGAAAAATAAACCGGTTTGTGCATGCCTACCACAACAAGAGTTGTGCCATCAGGCCCACCACCTCTAATCTTCCTTTGTAAATGGGCCGCATCTCTATGTAAGATAGCAGTAGCCCACCAATTATACACGTCATCATTTTGTATTCACAATCCACGCGCTAAGATTGGTTCAATTATACACCTTGTCTAAAGTATTTTTAATTTGTTAATGAAACAAAACTAATAGTAGATTGTGTCACAATATTTGTTTATCTAAGCTTTTTATATAAATAAATAAAATAAGAATAACTAATTTTATAATTGTATAATTCACACATCTATGTAGTGTGTATCAAAGTTATAAACAAATGAAAAACTTTTGTTACTCTTTTTTTCTAAGTATATTTTAATAAAGAGAAATTAAATATCCTTTTATCATTTCTTCCTATTTATCTTCCTACCCATTTGAAATGGTGACATGTTTCATATTTTGATAAAATTAATTATATTTTAAGACACTTGTTATCATTTAAAGTGGGTAGGAAGATAATTATGAGGAAAAGCAGAAGATATTTAACATTAATAATATTATATAAACCCAAACAATCAGTGTTATGCAAATTGTGTTTTCAACTGTTATATAATTCGACAATAAATTTAAAGTCCCTCTGAAACATTGATATAACCGATAATACATGTGTATAATTGGTTGTTTCCAAAGCTAGAAATCTTAAAATCAGAGGAGTGATCTTAGTAGTTGTACTCTACGGATTGAAATTTGTACAATATTTTGTGTTTGAAATTATGCATTCTGCAGGAAGATTCTGGCTATTTATCGTAGAAGTTTCCCTCCATTTATTCTCTTCTTCTCATCGGCTCATACTCGATCCTTCGCGTGTCTTCTTTCTGATTCATTTCTTCTCTCTCTCTCTCTCTCTCTCTCTCTCTCTCTCTCTCTCTCTCTCCATATATATATATATATATAACACGAGAACGGAGAAGCTTGTTATTGTTTCGATCAGGTATTCAGGTGCATGTTCAAGGAACTTGATCAAAATCATTAATCTGTTAAATTCATCGAAGATCGAGTTTGATTTTGTACTAGTATCATGATTCTGTTAAAATCAAATGAGATTTCGTACATTTTGAAGTGATTTTAGAGCTTTAGAAAGAATAACCTTAGTTATGTTTGATAAGAGTTAGTATATGGAATTACTAAGTAATTTGATGTGATTGGGTTTTTTTCAGGGAGGAACTAACTGACCAAAGCATAAATGGCGGCAACGGCAGCTCTTGTAGTGGATGCAGAGTATTTGAAGGAGATAGAAAAGGCTCGTCGAGATCTTCGTGCCCTCATCTCCAACAAAAAATGTGCTCCAATTATGCTTCGATTAGCGTACGTGATTTCTTATCTTTTCTGTGCGTATGAATTCATGAATCACGTTCAGATCTATGATCTGTATAGCTATTAGATTAAGAACTTAATTAATGTTCTGGTGCCTAGGTATTATTTGTGACCTATTAACTGATCGGTATTACTGGAATCGTTATTCTATCTTTGCTGATCGATTACTTACAAGCTTCTTAAATTAGTTTCTTTATTCTTCTTGAGATCGATATTTCTTTCCAATTCTGTTATGTAAATTAGTTCGTTCATTTGTTGCTTAATCTGTCAAATGATAGAATATGGATTATAGATGTTTTAGAAAACTATAGCATTGATGTTGTGCAACAAAGTAAATGTATTCTCTAATAATGATGATGTAGTTGTCTCTCACACACAAATGGTGAAATGAATTAGCTATTTTGTCATTTTCAGCAAATTTGATTGTATTATTGCCTAAAGCATAACATTGATTTTAAATGTTCTAATCCTCATGATCTATAACTGAGAGTTTGTTGGGGAATGCAGATGGCATGATGCAGGGACTTATGATGCTAAAACAAAGACAGGAGGCCCAAATGGATCAATCAGGAACAAGGAAGAGTATATGCATGCTGCAAACACTGGTTTGAAAATTGCTATTGATCTCTGTGGTAAGTTTCTATTCATTTATGTTATAAGCATTAATATATTTTTTATCCCTTTTGAGAACAGTATTGATGTATGTGACATTAATAACAGATGAAGTGAAGACCAAACACCTGAGAGTTACATATGCTGATCTCTATCAGGTTTAATTAATTGCTTAAATACAAACCACAAATCATCTCTTTCAAACATGTTGGATCTTTTCACTTTAATTTCACCTGTTTTTTAAAATTATGATGAAATGTTATTCAGCTTGCTGGAGTAGTTGCAGTTGAGGTGACTGGAGGCCCCACTATTGACTTCACACCTGGAAGGAAGGTAGTATAATAATAAACTAACATTTTAGTAATTAATAAAGCAGTTTCTTATAATTATTATTTATTCTTCCACTTTTCTGTCAAACAGGATTCAAAAGTGTCCCCTAATGAAGGACGTCTTCCTGATGCCAAACAAGGTCACTTTCTTTTCATTGTTTTTATTAATTGGATGTATGTATCATGTATGTGTATGTATTTTATGTATGTATGATGTATGTATGTATAATCTTCAGGTGCAGCACATCTCAGGGATGTGTTCTACAGGATGGGCCTATCAGACAAGGATATAGTTGCACTTTCTGGTGCTCACACTTTGGTCAGTTTTCCTTTCATCAAATTTGACACCATTTATTTTATGTTTTAACATAAAATATTTATTAATACAATTTCTCTCAGGGAAAGGCACATCCAGAAAGGTCAGGATTTGATGAAAAACCATGGACCAAAGATCCTTACAAGTTTGACAACTCTTATTTCCTGTAAGTAATCTTTTTTCCACAAAATTCATCCATTTTCTCCTTTTTGATAAATTGACAATAATATTATGTAATGAATGAATCAGGGAGCTTCTAAAAGGAGATTCTGATGGATTGCTGAAACTTCCAACTGATAAAGCTTTACTCGATGACCCAAACTTTCGTACCTATGTTGAACTTTATGCGAAGGTAAAAATATCTTTTCAATCATTCATTCAATGTTCAATAGAAATTCAAGCTTCTTTTGTGTACACAGGATGAAGATGTGTTCTTCAAAGACTATGCTGAATCACACAAGAAGCTTTCAGAACTTGGGTTCACACCACCTCTCTCAAAGACTACATTATTTGCACAAACTGCTGTAGGAGTTGCTGTTGCTGCTACTGTGGTCATCCTCAGTTACTTATATGAAATCAACAGAAAGTGCTAAATTATCATCATGATTTGCATTCATATAAATAAGATTTATACAATGCTTATTATTTTAAACTATCGCCTACATTGTGAAGGCAAAATTTCAATTAAGTTAAACAAAGAAAAAAAAAAAAACATGAGTTGGGTGCACAAACACTCCAACAACTAACACCAAACCAAATTACCCAACCACAGTGAGAGAAGAACAAGTCTATCTTCTCCATCATCATCCTATTCCATTAAATTAAAAGTCAGTAATCATCTTCAGCTCTTCAGTTCTTTAAGCTCTTGGACTAAGAGTCGAAGTAATATCTTGAAAAACCTTCAACCTCTTCTCAATCTTCCTCCCAACAACCTTTCCTGTCTCAATCTTCATCTTCTCCGGTTCAGTCGTCGTCGTCGTGGAACCCAAAACCGCCGCAAGAATCGCCTCCTCAAAATCCTTACTATCCGGCAAAAGCCCACTCCAGTCGTTTTTCTCCGGCGACCCTGATTTCCTTCTCGCCTTCACCTCCATTTCTCCGGCGTCTTTTTCTCCGTTCACTGACCTCGTTCTTTTTAGCCCCTCCGCCGCATTTTCACCGGTTTTCACGTAAAAAGGCTTAGCATCGATATTCAGTGAATTAGAATTCGAATTGGAATTAGAATTGGAATTAGGATTGAGATTCCCAGGTGGGCCCACCACCACCACCGGTTTTTTATTCTCATCACCAAAACCATCTTCGGTTTTTTTATTCGAAACAGGTACAGAAGATAAATGTTCTTTGCAAGGTTGAGGTTGCCAAAGTGCTGAAGAACCCAAGAAAGCATCGAAGAGTTTTCCTCTGTTCAACTCTATCTCCGCCGCTATTCATCATCTCTGATTCCAAATCACGTAACATCTGTTGAGCTCTTTCGTATGCTTTCAGATGTGAATCCACCCCACGTGGCCCATCCACCACCGCAGGTTTCACTAACCTTAAAGTATCCTTAGCTTCTCCGAGCCTCCCTTGTTTCATCAAACAAATCCCTAAATTACACATCTTGTTGTTGTCAGGCGCTATCACTAAAGCTCTCCTGTATGCATCTTCTGCTTCAATGTAGTTGTTCTGTTGCATCAACGCCCACCCCAAATTCCCCTTCAAAAAAACAAAAAACACACAAAATTCAGATTTGGAATTCGAATCCAAAGTCAAAATCAAAGTCAAACGTAGTTCTTACGAGTAGTCGAGTTGCCTCTTGTTCGACTGACACTTGGAATTTCTTCCCTTGAGATCTTGCGGTTTTGGTTCGTTTCCCATTGAATGCCATTCCTTGTTGGATTAAGAACAATTTGTGTCTTAATAATCCGATTTGGTCATCCAATCTTCCGCATCTCTACACATTCAAATTCGATTTTTAATCAAATCAACAGTTTTGAGGGAAGGAAAAGAAATAAAAAAAAATAAAGATTTGATTTTTAAATCTAACCTTGTAGAGATCCAAAAGGATGTTATCGAGAGACTCTTGAGCATGATCTGAGCATCTTCTTCGCAACGACTTAATAGCTTCGATGGCTTCTTCTGCTCGATTCTGTTGTTTCATAACAATCGCCATGTCTTTCAGAGCACTATCCACTCTATCTCCGGCGTTAATGGCTGCCCAAAACAACGGAATCGCCCTCTCCGGATCCTTCTCTACCAACTACATAACAAAAATTTCAATATAAATCAATCAAAATCGAGGAACCCTATGATAACAAATTAAAAGATTGTGTTTTTTGTGATCTTACTTGAACGTTTTTCGCTCTGACATAAGGAGAATCGCCGACTGGGACCTTATGGGTAACATGGAAAGATTCAGACCGAGTTGAGTTCGAGTTCAACGAGTCAGACCGAGTCAAGTTTGAAATCATTGACTCGGATCGAGTTGGATTCAAATTAAACGACTCAGACCGAGTCCTCAATACCCCAGCACCCAGAGGCTTTAATGGCGATGACGGCGCCGATTTGGTGGGTCTGAACCCTGGCGGAGCGTTCCACATATCTTGCATCATCTTGATTGATTTGATTTTTGAAGGGTTCTTCAAAAAAGATGAATCTTTATTAGAAGATATGTGGATTTGCAGAGAGATAGTGGAATAACCAGTGACAATGGTGGAAGAGGTGAGAAAATGAGAGAGAAAGAAAGAGATACGGCGGAGGGTTTGAGGGAAAGAGAGAAAGAGATGGAGGAGGATTCTGAGGGGAGAGGCGGTGGAATTTAGCGAGTTTTTGAGTGCTGAGATTTATTTTGAATTATCTGACCGTTGGAGGGTTACCGTTCAAATCACTAGCCGTTGTGTCTGCGATGGGGAAAATGGTAACTTGTTATATTCGGCCCCTGATATTTTGGCAAACTTCACGTTTGCCCTTTCTGAATAAATAATTCGTAGAACAGCCCCCCTGTAGTTTTCTTACTTTTATGCCCTCCAAGTTCTATTAGGCTTTTTAATCTTGGTAACACTTGATGTCTCATTTTAGCTAAAAACAGTTTTATCGAAAAGTAACAAGAAAGAAAACTATACTTGAATCTCACGGACGGAATTATGATACATATGATTTATATCTAGTCTTTCTATTTGTTTATTAATAATAAGATAAGATTCATTGAAAAGTCATCTAAGATTTGAAAAATAATAATACATCGATAGTTCAAAAGAGTGTGAGCTTTGGGACGCTTTGTCATCGATCAAATAAAGAGAATGCCAATGGCTTATTGTGAATGCTATCACCATTGAGATATGCTTGTTTGGAGTCGATATTGATTCAATACATTGATTTATGTTTGAAAATATGACCGTTAACTAATATATTTATTCGAGATGTAACCATTAAATAAATTGGTAGAAATGGTAATTGAATTTGAGATTTATGATCTGACATGGTATATATAATATATTTTCAATACAACACAAAAGTAATAATAAAGAAATGTCAAAACAATGTTATTTGATTTAAATTTAACCATCAATTGATGTTATTGGGGTTTTCACGTACTAATTAGGATATTGATGGTCGTTAAACCTAACAGGAACACAAAAATATTAGACAAACATTGGGGTGTTCGTCAAGAGTTTGTTCTAATTCTCAAGTAAGTACACGTTCAAGAGGATAGTAAATGAAAGACATGGTCGTATATAGTAACGTGTACCATCTTATAAGGACTTTTGTGTGAGTATTTAGACTTACCGACATGGGAGTGGCCCATTTACAAGTGGAAAAGGCATTGCCTAACAACGAAAACTTTTCTTGAGGTGTTCCATATACGTGTTGGAAGTAAGATTGAATCATCACCGTTAATGTTATGTATCGTCTAAAGTAATATAATCAATGTGTATTGTACAACACATGCCCTTTTATAGGCATGTTTCCTTATTTTTTTGGACATATAGGGTGGTATCATTTATTGTGAGTATATGTCGTTCGAGGTTGGACTAGGCATATATATTGGTTTGTAAAAAGAAGGTTGTTGGATCTTGCACCTCATATTTTTATACCTACATAGAATGATGATTCAGTTTTTAACTGTTATGGAATAACGAACCTTGGAGTATAATTATGTTAAGGACATATATTTGGACCTCGAGATCATGGTAATATGTTACTATGTCCACCTAGTATGGAATATGAAGTACACATGTCATTGTTAGTTTATGTGCATGATTAAAATATACTACTAATTATGTTGTAGCTTTTTCTAGTTAGGGTCTCTTAAAAATGAAAAGTAGGGGAACAATATGGTTATTATATAATATTAATTGATCATTTGTAAATATTGATTATAAGGTAGAAGCATTTACATTAACACATAATAATTAACTGAGAATAGATGAGATTAGAGAATAATGAATTGACTCTAAATTGCTAATCTTGATTTCCTTAAGAAAGGACAAGAAGCCTTATGGTTTCCTCATAGTCCTTGGCATGAAAAGGGCCCCATGTACTTACCCGAGCAACATTATATATTCTCTATTTAGATTTAGACCAGAAGGACCGAGATCGACACCACCCACAACAATACGGAGATGGTACAACAACCACCACGTCGGGTGCTTAGGGTGCGTTTGGTTGTAAAAAAATTTTCAGTTTTCTAGGAAAATTTTCCAAGAAAAATGGAAATTTTGAAAACGCGTTTGGTTCGTTCAGTTTTCCAAAATTTTCCAAGAAAATGAAAATTTTTAGGGTGCGTTTGGTTGTGGAAAATTTTCCAGTTTTCTAGGAAAATTTTCCAAGAAAAACGGAAATTTTGAAAACGTGTTTGGTTCGTTAAGTTTTCCAAAATTTTCCAAGAAAATGAAAATTTTCAGTTTTCCAAATTGTATGTAAATTAGAAAAGTGATTTTTACAGTTTTCCAAAGTTTTCCAAATTTCTAAGATGGAAAATGAAAACTCCCCCGGTTTCAACCAAACGCGTTTTCTAAAATTTTCATTGAAAATTGAAAGCGAAACTCAACTCTATTTTCTGAAAACATTTTCTTAGAAAATGAATACAGTTTTCCACAACCAAACACACCCTCAGTTTTCCAAATTGTATGTAAATTAGAAGAGTGATTTTTACAGTTTTCCAAAGTTCTAAGATGGAAAATGAAAACTCCATCGGTTTCAACCAAACGCGTTTTTTAAAATTTTCATTGAAAATTGAAAATGAAAATTCAACTTTATTTTTTGAAAACATTTTCTTAGAAAATGAAAACAATTTTCCACAACCAAACGCAGCCTTAGTTTTCCCAATTGTATGTAAATTAGAAAAGTGATTTTTATAGTTTTCCAAAAGTTTTCCAAATTTCTAAAATGGAAAATGAAAACTCTCTCCGTTTCAACCAAACACGTTTTCTAAAATTTTCATTGAAAATTGAAAATGAAAACTCAACTCTGTTTTCTGAAAACATTTTCTTAGAAAATAAAAACAATTTTCCACAACCAAACGCACCATTAGCATGCCGAGATTTTGTGCCACCCACGATACCCTAATGTCGTTTTCTTTCTCCTCCTTATGCTTGGTTAACTGTTATTTTTTTTAATCTAATATAAATATCAACCAACCCTACCATTTATATTTTATACCATACCAATACTTTTATTATTTCATTTACAATGTCTTCATCGTCTTCTTCTTCGATAACATTGGAATTGGTGATGCAAGCGGTGAAGCGTTGCAAAACTTTGGAGATAATGATTGATATTTAAGCAATGAGGAAGTCAAAAGTTCACGTCGAAAAAACCAAAAAAAAATATACATAGACACCGTGAGTCTGCCCACAATGTCTCATACATGACTACTTTGTTGAGCATGCGATAATTGAAGGGTACTTTTTCGTCATTAGCATACTGCATCTCAACCGATACTTTGACGAGCATGGACATTTTTAGTTATTCCAGATTTAATTGTATATGATTTTGACCCTATAGTTGCTAGAGTTTACGGTTAAGTATTCATAGATAGAGACTCCAATGTAATCACATTGAAAACAATCGAGAGTAATATAAAAGTTCTTTTGTTCTTGCTCATAGACGTATGTCATATCAACCAAATCACGTTAATTCTCTGTATCGTTTTATTTCTTTCCTTGCTTGCGAGGACTTTCAGGCTTCTACCCTAAATCTAGTGAAAAGTCTATTCCGAAAGTACTATCAAACGAAACTCAATTCAAGACTATTATCGCACACCATCACAAGCCTCATGGTCAACCCATCCATCTTCCCTTGCTCAGAATCTAGAGCAAGCAACGTCACATGGATCATGAAAGATTTTGTCTTGAAATGCCAATAAGGAATAGCCAATTATAAAAAGAGGGGTTGGGAATGAAAGCACTCATGTGGTATGAAAGTAGAGATATTACTTAGAGCTAAGGGCATGCCATCTATTCCTAATTGACTTTCTTTAACATTTGGTTTCAAAATTTGACCACTTTTTATAAACAAGAATTTGAAATGAAGACTCATGTGTACACGAGGTTTGTTTAAAATACAACTAGTTAAATTGGAGTATGAAGAACAAGAATTTGAAATAAAGACTCGTCGTATGTATAGGAGATATTTTTTTAAAATACTAGTTAAACTGGAGTACGAAATATCTATTCGCCAAAACAAGTGATAAAGGCGATAGTCATAGTAATGACTAGTTTAATTCTATATATATATATATATATATATATATATATATATATATATATTCCTTTTTCTGGGTATGACGAAATTTACACGTTCTCATTCCATCTATATTTAGATTTATAAGAAGCAGAAAAAACTAAGTCAACAAGGCCCATTAGCTCAGTTGGTTAGAGCGTCGTGCTAATAACGCGAAGGTCGCAGGTTCGATACCTGCATGGGCCAAAGTTTTTGTGGCTAGATCTATAGCTATAAAAAAATGCTCTCAGCTCAATAATTGATGTTTTATCACAATTAAGACCTGTTTCAGTCTTTTTGTTTATTTAATATATTTATTAAGGGGAATTTCTTTCCCAGTTTTTGATGTATTATATTAAGAGTTGATATATGACATTTATTTAAATATCCTTAAATTATAATTTATAGAGGTGAGATGATAAAACGATGATAAGTTCAATGGTATATTAACCTATATACAAAATGCTATTGTTCAAATCCTCCGTATATAACTAAATGCTGTTTAATTAGTATTCACCGACGTTCCATTTATTTCACGAGTTGAGGTTAGAATAATTGGGTAATACACATGCTCCTTAATTTGACTGTTGCGTTCGATCTTTGTAATGTCTATTTCTTTCTTTAAACAATCCGCTTAACAAAGTAGAATTTTATAGAAAAAAGAAAAGGCCAAGATTCAAACTCACACCTTTCAGTATACATGTCTTATGTATCATCTTATTGCGTTGAGATTCTTCTCACCTCTAAATTTAATAGCTTCCACAAGCTTGTTTGAATATATATATATATATATATATATATATATATATATAATATATATATATATATATATATATATATATATAGGGTTAGGTTCATTTGAGACCACTATATTTTGTGAGACGGGAATACCAAATCTTGACCACTCATCTTGAATAATCAAAGGCTAATATTAAATCAGATTAAACCATAAGGAACATAAAGCAGACGGTGGTATTTTTGTAAATAAATGGAACTTTAGGATTAGAATAAGACACAGAGGGGCAGGAAGGGAATTTTACGTTCTTTTCCATTCAGCTCACAAAAAACACTCGGTGTTCTTCCTAAAA